AACCTTTCAATCAGCCGTAGTCCGTAAACTTGACTCATTTGGGCGTCCCTCTGCGAGTGGCACCCGGTGCTTGATACACCCCCTTGCATTCCTTCGAAACGCCACTGCCCTTGGTTGCCCAAATTTATACCCTTTAATTTTCTTTACCACTGAGGCGCCCCCTAGGACTTAGCGCCTGCTCCTTTCGCCCTATGGTAGGACCTCTGCATATAGCCTATAGTAGATATATATTGTTAATTCATTATATCTGAACTTATATTTTTTATCAATAGTTCTACATCATTTTGTAAAATTTTCAAAAAATTGTACAAAATTGCTTTTACAACTGACGCCTTTAAGCAATTCTGCTTTGTTAAGTTCAACAGAACATCTATTTCTAAGTTCTTTAAATGATGAAGATGCAGGCATGCTTAAAATGTATGACATAATTTTAAATAAATTATCACTATCTAATGTCGTTTTTAAAAATAATATTCCATTTATCAGTGATAGTACATTTTGTTTGCCAATCAGGTGAGTTAATAACATATTTTAACGAACATTTAATATACAAATTTCTTCAAAAAGCTTGTTCATGTGTATATTAGAAATATTCAATAGTTCTAGAATTTCAGCAAATATTTCAAAATTTGGCAGTTTTGTTAATATATTATCAATCTTGAGGTTTGACTTCTTACAATTAAAGATTTTACATCGAAATCAAATAATTTTCCCCATAAAACAAAGCTTTGTTATAAACATTTAGAAATTTGTTTTCAAACTTTGATTTTCTTTCAGTTTTCACATAACTTCATGCCCAAAAAATTTCTCAACTCTAAAAGTGAGTTGTTGCTTAAAATCTTTTAGAATGGTGTACAAGTCAATGACGNAATTTAGGTGACAATTAACAATAATTTAATATTACACTATATAATTTAGGTAATTATTATCAATAATTGAATATAATGCCATATACACAGATGTATATTGTTCATTCATATGTCTGAACTTATATTTTTTTTTTTATCATTTTTTACACATTTCAATAGTTCTACATCATTCTGTATCTTTTCAAAAAATTTTATGCAATTGCTTTTACAATTGATATTTATAAGCAATTTTGTTTTGATAAGTTTAATGAAATCTAATGGCAATTATAGCACTTCTCACTGTAACCAAAAATAAAGTTTGTAGTAAAATGAAATTTTTCATTGTTGGAGGAAAATATTGTCAACAAAAATTTTTATTGTGTTCACAAAATCATGTGTTCAGAAATTAATTGAATGTTCAATTTTTCATTTTGATTTTTTAAAATGGCTTAATTTTTTAACATAAGGTTGTTTTTTTGTTTACAAATGTACAGTACATTACATTAGGACAATTAAGCTTCTATGTAGGACTGAGGATATATATCATAAACTGTAAGACACCTGGCAACCTTATGTATATATCAATGGTATAGCCAAAACTTTCTTGAGAGGAGTTTAAGTATTTGAACCTTCTGAAAAATATTGATACAAAACAAAACCATTAACATTGTTTCTTATAATACTAGCTTACATTTTATTGGTATATAGAAAAATAAGCTTATCACAGACGTAAAAATTTAAATATTTATTTCTTCTTGTTACTACTTGTAAAATATGTTTTGAATATTTAAGTATGGGTTCTAGATCACAAGGACCCTGTCTTGGCTATTCCACTGATTATTTTTAATTACAGTATATTTATTAGATTGATGCATAAGTTTGTGCCAGTGACTTTGGCACTGAATGATGATGCAATGTTGATGTGAAACATAGGAAACGCAGTCAACTAAGTTTTCTCCTCTGTTGTTAATTCTCTCCCAACACAGCTTGGCAATAAATCAAGACTTTGCTTCAAGAATACTACAGGTAAAGCCATGAAGAAGTCATTCAACCAAGTTTCCAGTGCATTGTCTTTGAAGGAGATCCCTTGCAGGTCTTTTGAGAGAGAACAAAATAGATGAAAATCCATAGGAGTCTATGAATTTTCATCTGTTTTGACTTAAACTGAGAGACTATTTCTAGAGCTCTGGAAATAATCTCTCAGTTAAAGTCCTAAATTACTGTTTTGGTAATGTTTGCTATGCATGACCAGGCATTACAATGGAGCAATGGCACATGTCAGCAATATGGATTTTCGGAATGGCTTTTGCCAGATAGTAGAGTTGATCATAATATTGTGCCATAGCAATGTTTTGGTTTCTTGAAAGAAATTTGTGATGGATAATGTCCTTCATATTCCACCATATGCATAACGTCATCTTGCATAGATAAAGATCAAGTTTAGGATGAGGAGTCACATTTTCTATTTTCTTCATATTGAGATGTAGGCACTACTTTTTATTGCCAGGACAAGGATTGCTGTTAATGTGGATGGCAAGTATTGCAAGTATTGTAAAGCAGAACAGACAGATGACGATGTTAGCATAAATAATGCATCAGTGAGATTATATGGCCCATCTAACAACACCACACATGTAATATGAATATGATGATGTGATGCAAACTTATACATCAGTCTAATAAATTTGTACATTATTTGTAAA